ACATCTGATGACTTGGTACTACTTTTCACATCACCTCAAAATATGCATATGATCCACAAAAGCCTAATGTTGACGATTTTCTGAAGAAAGCATTAATGACTCTATGGATATATCTATGTACATATATATAGGGTCACTGTACATCTATACATTAAACACAGAAACAGAATGCATTCAGGGGTTCTCAAAATCCATTTACTGTTTAAAAGTTTCAATGGTGAATACACTAACAATTCAAAACTTCCTGGACGCCCGTAAAACAGCAGAAGTTTACAATGCAACTAGTAAATTTACTTGAAGCACATCATCTTGACTATTTCCATTCTGAAAGGAATAATTCTTCCCATTTCTTAGAAAGGAAACGTGTATTTAGAAAACAGCCCTAGCTGTTCATCGTGTGGAAATACACTGCTGTCAAATTAAGAGTTTTCCATTGTTTTAGAACAATGTATCTACAGCAGCTATTTTTAATCACTCTCTGCTAATCACAATCTTTTCATGTACTAATTCCATAGCTACTAAAAAAGGTGTGTACGTCTTACTCATGAATGTTGCTCTTAAGAAAGGGTGTGAAGAAGATAAAACTGTTTCACAATCTAAACTCCCGATTCCCTGTGCATGCTGAGTCTGCACTATGACAGCATGCAAGTCAATTTCAGTATATAATTGAAGACTAGGAAGGTTATTATTATGAAATGGGACTTTGGCAATGTTAAAGAAGAATGTAAAGCCTTCGTTGAAAAATAGTTTGGAACATGCAAAACTCTTGCTTTGTGAGACAGCTACCCATAAATTGACTTACAGATTATTGTATTATAGTTAGTACCATAAATTACCCTAATGTGCTTACTAGCTACAACATATCCCTAAGGTCACTAATCACTAATTTAGAAAGTTGTACGTAGGGAGTGTTTTAAAAACATACTGAGACAAGGTCACTTGACAGCACTTGTAAAACATGAGAACATAAACCGTGTCATGCTGTTACATTCTTCTGCTAGTAAAACCTGGCTTAACACCATAATTAAAAGTTTTAAGCTGAGAGAACTTGATGCCAATTAAACTGAAAACCTCACTGAGTTTATCTTTCTGAAGGATAAGAAGTGCATTTGTCACACAGTACACTTAAATATGTGTACTGCTGTAAGATTGAGGTGTTTTGAAATGACTGAATTATTAGTTTAACACTTCATTTTTGCAAGTGAGTGTATGTGTGGAGCTCACAGTTGACAAAGCATGGTGACCTAGCAACTTGGTCCCAAAATAAACCGTAATAAGTTACAGTGCTGGGCACAAAACTCTCTTGGTCTTCAGCTACAGTCATTGCAGACAGGAAATCTGTGGGGTTACACACAAAATGGCCTCAGGATTGGACCCTTTATTAAAGGTCCTCTGGCACTGATAAATCTCTGTATCAAGGTTATGACTTGACTGAAAAAAAAGTAAAACAAAAATAAGCCACCAGAGTCTAGAAGTGGGTTAGAAAATTTCAGCTGGAAAACAGTTTCTTCTTCACCTATCCTGTAAAATACATAAATAAGCACAGATTGTTCTGTTCATTTCAGACCTTAGACTTTGAATATAAACAAATGCAGATTAGTTACGAATTAGTAAGACTGAAATAACCAGTTGCTTTTCTTGGTAACACAAGAATGGATATGATGTTTTGCAGCCCCTGGCTCATCTGTGATATTTCATACGGGTTTTTTTACACCAGTCAAAACTCAGCACACTTACTGCACATACAAAACTGCCTAAATATTTCTTGCAGTCGATTTACTTATGAGAAATCTTTAGCAAGATGTGTAAAACATTTAAAAGCTACCTTCTCTACTTGGTAGATAATAGTACAGGTTATATAACCTACCATAGAAGATTTTCCATAAAAGAAGGAAAAAACAAGGAACTTTAAATACAAAACAGCCTATATTTAAAGACCCATCAAGGCTGTGTCAGAAGTGACAGAAGATAGGAAAATAGAATGACACTTAACATTCTGATCTTAATTCACATCAGTTAAAAGTGGCAAGTTATAGCACACTTTCTCTTAAACTTCTGGGTTTTTATGGATCTTGCCAGAATGCTGCAAAACTCTGCACACAAATTCACTGAAGACTAACGGGACAAGCAAGAGTGAGCAGTGCTTCAGCTTCAATGAATAATTTGTCCTTCAAGACAAGACAGTAGACTGCTTTGACCAAAAGCCTGATTGCTTTTTGCCTTCCAAGGTGTTGAATACTTTTCTCTTTGGAGCTCTGTACCTCATGCCAAACTCATGCAAGGCAACAAGGAACAACGAATCCTGCTGTTATTTTTAGAATTCAGTTTCTTCAGATATAGTGTCTAGTTTATAACCAGACTCGTCCTTCTCCAGGCTGGGGATTCCATTGTAAAATGCACTGAGTGGTGTTTTTGCAATTAGGAAGGTGGTTTATCTCCAGATCTTGAAACAATATTTAAAGGTCTAAATCCCACTGGAACACTGATTAGGAACTTGGCAAAAAGAAAATTCCAGCAGAAACAAAATATGCAAGTGGGATGAAGACTGAGTACTGCGTACCCAACGTGCAGACATTTTCAGTGGTATAAAAACAGAAGGTGAAAAGTACATGTTTTGGTGAACTTCCCATACATCATTTCAGGCAAAAAATTGTTTCAAAAGGATTCAGTATCAGTTGCCACAACCCACTCCAAATGCTAGTGGCTACTGCACTCACCATAGAGAAAGCAGATTTTGGTTACAAATTCTACTTCAACAAGAGGAGAGATTTTCATCCCCCACCTACTGCAACTCTGTGTCTACGTAGTAAAGAAGATGTATATCATTACTACCTTCATAAGTATCATCTCTGCTCTTTAGTCCTGAGATCTTGACTACAGTACCAATCCTCAGAGATCACGTAAGAAAGGCAAAAATCTTTGTGGCGAAATCTCAGAGGCATGTCCCATCAAGGCCTCAAGGTGCTCAGCAGCTGCAGGCCTTTGCCAGATATCTGCGGGCAGCAGAAAGAATTTATGACCAAAAAATATTAAGCGTATCTAATTGAGCCACCATTGTTAGGGCATTAATTGCTGAGTGCAAGTTCCGACTGTAGATTCGGAATACAGGCACCAAAATCACGAGACTAAAACGCCATCTATTTTGCATGCAGGTTTACACTGCAGCTCATCAGGAATACAAACTGCCTGAAGGCAAATCTAAGCATTACAGACACGGAGAAGAAACCACACAGCCTGAGCCTATCCCTCACGTGTGCGTCACTGCACGGCACTGCCTGCGCTGGGGCTCGCCAGAAGAGCTGTTGTGGGGTCTTTCTAGGACACGGAACCACTAGTTGCAGATTCATCCGGTTACTTATTTAAAGGCAGCCTTCCCGTCGCAGGTAGCCCGTGGCGGTGGGGCAGTGGTGCAGCAGGCATGCGGGCGCAGAAGACCCTCCGGAGACTACTCCTCATCCTGCCCATCACAGAGGCGGCGGTTATCGTCGCCTGCCCCTTTCTTTCCACGAGTAATTCTAAGGAACGCTTACCACCCCTTCAGAAACAGGGCCCTTTGCGCCCAGCCACCCTCCGCCAGTCCGCAGAAAACGCCAAGTCAAATGCCAGCGTACCTGTACAGTACATCACGTAAAAGTCAAGCCTTTATATCTTACTCTGGCGAGTAGCTCACACCCTCTCCCTGCAACCGCTTCCCGCAGCAAGCGCTGCCTCCCCTAAGCAAAGCCAGCACGGAAAAACCTCTCGCATCGCGTCGCATTAAGCGGCTATAACGCGGCACCGCTCCCCTGGCCGGGCCACACCGCGGGGCCCAGGGCACGGCAGGGACACAGCGGCGCAAGAGACTTCAAAAGATCGAGGGCTGCCCTCGCTTCGGCGCCTTCCGGGTGCACTGGCGGCTGCGAAGGCCTGCATCACCTCCGTTGGCTCGGGCCGGGCCGGGGCGGCGCGGCGCGGCCCGGCCCGGCACGAGAGCTGATGCGAGGCAAGGTTCAGGTCACCTGTCTCTTTAAGCAGACATTGCCCCCTAATTGGCGTGCGCGGCCAGCGGTGGCCGCGGAATGGACGCAAGGCAGGGGAGGGCGCACCCCACAGGCCCCCGCTCCACCGCCCCGCCCGGAGGAGGCGGTGGGAGCAGCAGCCGCGGCGGCAGCGACAGCCGACACCGTCCCACGTTACTTTGATTGACGGCTGAACAAATGTTTCCCCTGTTCGAACGCCGGCGCGGCGGAACGCCAGCGATCTCGAGGCTCCTCCTCGGGCGGCGGGCGAACGAGAGCAGCGAGGCAGGAGGAGCAGCTTGGTTGGCTGAGAGCCCGCGCGGCGTCAGGTCCCCACGTGGGGGCCGAGCTTGGGGCCGCCCTCCCCTCTCTTCCTCCACCCCCGGGCCCGCATGCCCATTTGTCACCGGCGAAATGATGGGCATTAATACAGAACGGCGATTAATGTGCTGCCGCCGTCTATTGGTTACCGGCGACGCCCTCCATGGGCGGAGCGGCAGAGGGGTGCGGGAGGGGGGTTGCGGAAGGCACCGCGGTGGTCGCCGGGAGTTGAAGTCCTGTACTCTGCAGAGGGCGGGTAGGGCGGAGAGCGGAGCCGTCGGGAGGACTGCGTTTCCCAGTCTGCCCCGCGGCGGCGGCGGCTCTTCCGGCTACCTGAATATGTATCAGAATGTTAATGACGAGCCGCGGCTAAATTTGGTCAAAGGAGTCACCGCGCCACAGCCGGCTCTGCGAGCGGCACGGAGTGGTGGCGGTGTGGGCCCGGACAGAACGGACCGGGCAGGACTGCGCCGGGCAGGGCAGAGCTGCAGCCTACCGGACCGAAGCGGACCGGGCACAGGGCTCCGTCCTGCGTGGCGCTGCAGCTGCTGCTGCCACTTACCGGAGTTTCGAAAGGCGAGGAGGGAAAGAGGAAAAAAAAAAGACATTAATAAAGCAGCCCGGAGTGTATCTTCTGCTTCATCTTTCCCGCTCTCTTTTTATTTTTTTAATTAAAACAACAAACAAACCGACAACACAAAGAACGGGAAAAGAGCGGCCCGACAGCGGTAGGGGAGATGCGGTCCGGCCGGTAGCAGCGAGGACCAGTCCGCCACACAAAAGCGCACCGCACCTCCGGGCAGCCGCCTGAGCCGCCCGCGCGAGCAGCCCTTCCCCGCCGGGGCGGCAGCTCCGCCCTGCGCCGGGAGAGCCGCCGGCAGCAATAAAAGTTTGCAGAAGGAGAGAAAACTGCCGGCGGGGATCTCCGCCGGAGCGCGCACCGGCGCCGGCGGAGGGGCTTTCCCTCCCTCTCTCCCTCCTCCTCCCGCTCCTCCTCGCCCACCATCGCACGGGGCTCGCCGCCCGCCAGAGCCCGCGGAGCGGCGGCACTCCGGAGAGCCGGTCGGCGCCACCCGCTGACCGCCCCCGGGGGATGTGGCAGCGGCCCCTGCACGCCGCGGACGCCGCCGCCGTCGCCGCCGCGCCCCGCTGCTGTCGGCGGTGCCCCGCCAGCTTCGGGGCGGCAGGGCCGGGGCGTCCCTGCCCGCCACCGCCGCGCCTGCAGCGCTGATCCCTGCTGCTCCGGCCTCCAGCGCCCCCTGAAGCGGCGTGGATGATCCGTGACCTGAGCAAGATGTACCCGCAGACCCGGCACCCGGTGAGTGGTGGCGGCGGTCCCTCGGGCAGCGCTCCAGCGCGGGCACCGCGGAGTTGTAGCCATTTTCTTATTGTTGTCCGCCGCGCCGCCGCCGCCTTGGACCGGGGTTGACTCCTCTGTGTTGCCCCCGCCCGGCGGTCCCGGCGGCGGACGCGGCGCCCGCCCCGCGTCCAGCAGCTGCGGCCGGTGCGGTGGCTCCGGGCGGGCGATGCCTCCTCCCGCGCAGGCCGTGCTCCGCCGGCAGCCCCGTCGGGGCAGTAGCCGGGGGAGGTTAGGGCATCGCGTCGCCGGCCCCAGGCGGGAGGGCGGGTGGGAACCCGAGGGAAGCGGCGCCTCCGAGGAGCCGGGCGCAGCGGCGGGCGGCGACCGGTCGGGGGGAGCCACGGGCGGGCGAGAGGGGGCGATTAAAAGACCCGCTCTTGCTTGCTTGCAGGCTCCTCACCAGCCAGCGCAGCCTTTTAAATTCACCATTTCCGAGTCCTGCGATCGGATTAAGGAGGAGTTTCAGTTCTTGCAGGCTCAGTACCACAGGTAACGCAGCCTACTTTCCCCGAGCCCCGCGCGAAATCTCCGCTCGCTGCGGCGCCGGGACGCCCGGGCGGATCCCGGGCGCGGAGCGAACCCATCCGGGCCGGCCGCAGCTCTCAAAGCCCTTCCGCATACCGCCGCCGGTCCGGGCTTCCGGGACGGGGGCTTGCAAGGGCTCCGAGCGGAGTGGGGAGAGCGGATTTTCTTTCTATCCCCACGCTCCAGTGTGTGATGTTTCGGTTTGGTTTTTTTTTTTTTTTTTTTTTTTTGTTGCTGTTTTTTGTTGTGTTTTTTTTTCTGTTTTGTTTAGGGTTTTGGGATTTTTATGGCAAGAAGGGGGTGGTGTTGGGGGTTAGTGGAAAAACGTGTGGATGTCTGGGCTGGTCCTCTTTCCTTCAAAATGCAGCTCAGGACACGCATCTTGTCTTGGTTCGGCCCCCTCGCGCCTTTCATTGACATGTCAAGTGCTGATAACCTGGAAGTGAGGCAGCGAGTTATTTCATTATCCTTAGGTGGAAAAGTGCTGTGTCCTCAGAGTGACAAGTGATTTCTGGTAGGATTGCTTAGCCGGCTTCCTAAAACAAGCAAACAAAAAAAAAAAAAAACCCAACAGCGGAGGTGTTTGTGTTTACCACGGTATTCCATAAATTGCTTGCCGTGTTTTCCTTGCAGTTCTGTCGTCATAAAAGAAAAAAAGAATAATCCATCAACTTTTTGCTCCTTGAAGTGGTGATACGTGTTTTATTCCCCTGGGGGCTGAGTGAAAGCAAGAGGTATCTCTAAAACCCTTTCCAATAAAAATGCCAAACCCCAAATTATGGATTTGTAAGTGGCTTCTCAAGCTTAAGTGTTGTAGGTGTTAACCCCTGTGTGCTTCTTTTGTGAACTGTTGGTTTTCTGTGAAGTGTTGGGTTTTCTTAGTTGGAGAAAAATACTCTTCTGCGTACCGTATGCAGTTTACTTAGATCAGGATGAGGGTACTGCACAGTGTCTCTTGAAAGAGGAAGAGTACAGACCCCACCCTGAACTCCCAAGCAAGAGCTGAATGCATATTTCTGTGTTGGAGAAACGCTTGAAAAGGGGAGTAACCTGTGTTCAGAAGAATGTCGGGTTTGTGTTATGAAGTACCCATGCTTTTCCTTTTTATGTCTTGAACAGTTTAAAGCTAGAATGTGAAAAACTGGCCAGTGAGAAGACAGAGATGCAGCGACATTATGTCATGGTAAGCAAGCTGCATAACAAATTAAAAATGTCTATTGGTTTTGTATACTGAGACCAAAATACGTTCAGATTGCTGGAGGCGAACAGAAAGATTATAGTAGCGCTGCTGTTGTTAAGGTTGCATCAGTGCTTCCATTATAAATTCTTAGTTTCAGGGGTGTTTAACTTGTTTGTTGCAGTTAGTTTCTCTGTGAAACCTGCTTCAGCCTTTGTCAGCAACTGGGAATGTTTCTTCCAAATGCTAGCAGATAACTTGCCAGCCTTTTAAAGCTGTGAACAACTTCCGTAGTGTACCTGGGGGTGATGTTTCACTTTTTCTGACTTCTCCCAATGATCATATCTCTGTAAATCGTTTTGGGATTATATTTATTCCTGTGAAGGGAGGAAGCCAAAATTGCACTTGTATGGATACAAACCCAAAACCTACTTCTTAGAAGAACTGTTGTACCTGGGCAGCTGGTTCATTGTTCCCCTGAATTCAGAATGGCAGGGATCTCATCTGTGAGAGTGATTTCCTCAGTGGTTGTGGTCTGCCTGGTTAAATGATGTGTATAAGAAGGTATCTCTAAATACATGATTGGACGATGGATCATGATAACTTCAGAAGAGCTATTGCTGTCTGTTCTCCTGTGCATCTATGAGGGATTAGCCATTTTCCACATGTACATGTTGGATGACACTCTTTGCTTTCACAAAAAGTAAATAACCTTGAAAAATTCTTAACCAAGACCACAGGCTTATGTTAAGGCTCACAGTTGTCTTTTTGGTCCCTGATATACCTGAGTCTTGGGGATTGCTTGGTGCTAACATTACATACTGAACAGAGTTTCCTGTGATACTCGAGCACAACAGGGCATAGTTAGATTGGTGTGTCTGCTTTGGCTCTGATTTTACATGCTTTTATTTTTTTGCAACTTCGCTATTTAATTGTAGAATTTTGTGTGTTTAATTTAAAATATTGAATAACTGGTCTGTTAGATATTGCTGATTTAGAAGTGTGGCTTCAAGCATTTCGGGTTTTTTTTTGGCATCTTTTATGTGTGCTAGGGAGTAGAATCTTGAGCATTTTCTGTGTGGCCTTTTTTCTGTGTCTGATCCTTAACTGTGGTTGTGATTACTTTTTGTGATATTTTGTTGTCTGGGTGGGTTTTTTTTCCCTGTTTTATGGCAGTTTTTTTGCCACAAAGCAATGTAGATAAAGCAAAAATAAAAAATTAAAAAAAAAAGTTGCTGTGAAATTGTCTTTTGAATTCCAGGAGCATTTCAAGGCCAGTAAATGTTTGTAAGTCTGTATGTCCTTGTACAGATGATGTTTGATTCAAAGTGATTTTTTGCATAGTTTTAACAATTGCAAGGTCTAATAGAGTAATTTTCTTCTTTCTCAGTATTACGAGATGTCATATGGACTGAATATAGAGATGCATAAACAGGTAGGTAAATAGTTTTTGTGTAAGAATGCTCTGTACAATTCTCCCATCAGTCTTAAAAGATACGTGTGTTCTGTGTGACGTGCTTTAATTGCATGCTTGAGTGCGCTGGCTATTTTTTTGTACGTGACCTGGCCCGGAAGCCTCAGCCTTGTGTGTGGTGTACAGGCTTTGCATAGGGTTATCGTCTTGGCTGCCAGTTATATGTTACTTCGTTGACTTTCCCCATGCAATCTCTTCACCTGCAAGTGGTCCTATACTGCATGGGGAGGGTGTATATGTGTAGGGATGGGTATGTAGGTTATGCCCTCAGATCTGTCTGACCTCAGACTTTCAGGGTTTACGTTTTGGGATTATAGTGACGTGATGAAGTCATATTAGGTGTTGAAGGATTTGTGTTTGTATATAGAAAAGACTGTTCTGTTTGGTGAACCTGGGCTATTTTTAAGTTGGAGCTACAAAAGCGATTGATGCATAGCTGTGGTTTTTGTTTTGCTCAGGCTGCTACTTGGACCTTTGTCCAAAACCAGTGTCTGGTCATCTCAAACATGAAAGAGTAAGTGAGCTTTCTGCAAGGACATTAGCACATCATCATAGAACAGTTTGGGTTGGAAGGGGCTATAAAGCTCATCTACTTCCAGCCCCCCTGCCATAAGCAGAGACACCTTCCACTACACCAGGCTGCTCAAAGCCCTGTCCAGACTGGCCTTGAGCACTGCCAGGGATGGGACATCCACAGCTTCTCCGGACACCCTGTTCCAGTGTCTCACCACGGTCACAATAAAGAATTCCTAATACCTAATCTAAATCTAGCTTCTTTCGGTTTAAAGCTGTTACCCCTTGTCCTGTCCCTACAGGCCCTTGTAAAGCAGTCACTCTCCAGCTTTCTTGTAGGACCACTTTAGGTACTGGTAGGCTGCTATCAGTTTTGTGCCTCGAAGTTTACCACTTAGACCAAGATTAGCAGGAGATTAATCAGATGGAACATAGTAGTGTAAAGCAGAGTTTCTTATTTGATAATGTGTGTTTTTAACCTCTCTAGAGGAGAATAAATTAAATATCTGACCTCTTTCCCATTGAGGGAACTTTTTATATGGTGGAGTTTAATACTGACAACTCATTTTAGCGAACTGTTAAGCACACTGCCAGCATTGCTGGGGAGTGTAAACGGAGGAAATAAAGAAATGATGGATGGGAGAAGAAAGACCATTTGAAAATTGGTTTGTATGCATTTCTGTTCAAAGTTAGGGATTTGGAGCTTCTCTGGGTTGTGGAAATAGGATTTCATTATCTTATTGGGATCAGACATAGAAGTCACATGTGTTTGTTTTTTTTCATGTTATTTGTTATTTATTATATTTTTGTATTCCATTAACATCCGAAATGACAGAGTACTGATTAGGGTCATTTGTCCTAGATGGCATACAAATGTGAAGACAGTGGGATTTCCTGCCTCAAAGCATTTTGCATCTGCAGTTCCAAACTTAGGGGACCTATGTTTACGGACTTGTATGTAGACCTGTTGATTTTGAATGCCCACCTTACAGGTACTATGAAGACACAACAGGTGTGTTTAACAAATAGTTGAGAGGAGTAGGCTGTGATTGCAGCTGATCATATTGTGTGTGCATGATGTCTCTCTGGACCTGATTCAGGTTGCAGGTGCTGGTGGACAGACTCATCGCTGACTCAGAGTTGTTCGGTCTGTTCTCAAATGAATAGCCAGGTTGTTTCAGGTCACATTAAAAATAAGTAAATAAAATCCCGAAGAAGGAGATACTGGGAAAGACCAGAGTCCTTACAGGCCACCAATGTAACAAATTTGTACAGGCGTTTGAAAGCCAGCATTGCAGTCAAACTTGTCTATATTTCTAGGTAATCTGTTTTTACAGCAATTAGATGTATGTAGGTTTGCACTGTCTACAGAAAATTGCATGGGACAAAATCAGCTTGAAAATGCAATGTGGAATTAAATTGTTTTGAGTGGGAGGAAAAAAAAAACACAGCGCAAAAGCCCTCTTTTAATTTCTGAATGCTTTGCTTCAGGAATTGCATAAAGTTGTGATGATGGAGTCATCAGTGATATTCTGGAGAAATTAAATACTTAGTTACAACTAAGTGTGGGGATTACAAAGGACTGAGTTTTAATTAAGCACCCTTTTTCATTACTGTTCAGTCTGTTCAAATTAGTAGTTCAAGTTTGTACTGTCATGCAGAGCAGTTAAATATTTTGTCAGATGTTGATTCAAATTAGCTGTGGCTAAGAAACTTATTCACTATCATTCTTAAATCTGATATAAATTTCTTACTGCTCTACTCCCCATCTATTGCCGCAGAATTGTAGGGTTTTTGCCTTTCTCCTCTTGCTTCAGCAAATGCAAAATTTTTCCCATCTTGCTTTATGATCACAGTGTTAAGGTCCGATTTGGTATGTTATATAGATAGTGTTGATTGCTTCATTTGATTGTGTATGAAGCTTTTTTAGTCTTCCAGCTTAAATTCCCTTCTCTTCCATTCCTGAATTTTACTCAGCTGAAATTGAGCAATTCACCTTTTTTTTTTTTTTTTCTATTTCTCCTCCCCCCAGCTTTCTAAATTCAATCATATAAAAAATCCTGAGGGCAGTTTATCACATTATGAAATACAGACAGCCCTGCAAACCACCTACTTATTATATTTTCTTTCTTTTTTTCACTTTAGCACAGAGGCATATCTGTCTTTATTTGTTTTTCTGGGCAGACAGCCTTGGTTCCTCTCAGGTTCTTTTCCAGATGTACTCACTGGATGCCCTTGTAATGGAAAGCAGGCAATAATGCAGTGAAGTTGCCCTTCGGCGTAATTGGGCCTAGTTCTCAAGATCAGGTTAGGCTTATTCACTTATTAGATTTGCGTCTCAAAGGGTTCAAGAGCAGGACTCCCTGGAGTCCTTGGAAGTACCCTAGTAATTGGTGGCCCTGATATTTGAAACCTTTGTGTATTTTTCTGTTAAAGCTTCTGTTCTTCTTGGCTGCTTCCAGCAAAAGAGTATTTATTTTTAGAGAAATTTTTCACTGGAACAGAAAATGATGGCTGTGATGGAGTCATGACTCTGTGACTTAGCAAATTGATAAAAGGGTAAATGCGTGCAGAGAAGCGGTAGTGAGTGTGCCTGTGTGTCTGGGGGGTGAAGGGGAGGGGGGGAAGAGCATCTCTTTTCCCACCCCTCGTGTGATGCTCATCATCAGTCATCCTGTGTTGATTTTGATAGAAGACTATTAAAGTGAAACCTATGGGGAATTTGTCATTCTGAAAGGAAAGCTAATGTAATTAGTACCAATTAAAGTACATTTAGTAAATTGGATTTAATCTTAATTAAGCCTGCATAATGTTGCCAATTTTTAACAATTATGTTTGAGAACATAATTAATTTAAATTTTGGTAACTGAGTAAATAGCATTAGACTGGTAGAATTAGTCACTTGTTTTGTTGTTTGCTTTTTTTTAAGTGTGGGGTATGTTATGACATGTGGTGTTGTAGCATAAAATTCTAAGTTAATTTTTTATATTCTCTAATAAGATCAATAAAGCTTCAAAACAGACACAGTCTTGGAAAAAAGGCAGAGTTGGGGGTTTGGGGGGTGCAGGATGAGCAGATACTTCTCTACAGTTTTAAATTTCAATGTCAGTATATATAATGTTATATTTGTTTTATATATATATATGAGTGTGATCTGAAGATGCCCGTTTCTCACTGAGTTGATTTTTTTAATGTTTGTTTTTAAGAGGCTGAGGCAGTAGTTTATGAATGAATACCTGATGTGTGCTGCTTTGTGTTTCTAATATACTGTTGCTACTGGTGGTGGTCATTTGGTTTAATTTCTGAAATAAGGCTGTGTTAATGTTACAGTAAACAGCTTATTTAAATTGCTGTAATCAAACAGCTGAAGGTTTTAATTCAGCATTGTAATTATAAGCATCTGTATTTGGGTACAGACAACAGATACTTGGGGATGGGATTGATGGAAAGCATAAATTGGGTACAGCATTCACTTTTTACTTTGATTGTGGTGTTTTGGAGGTGGCATTATGTATATTCCGAGTCGCTCTTTTTGTTTAGGCCTCTGTCTTTGAATAAATTCACACAGTAGAATGTTGGATTTCAGCATTTTTGAGGAAATTCAAGTATTTTGAGGAGCTGGGTATTAAAAAATAAATTAAACGACTTTTTAAAATCACGGTAAAAAAAAAAAAAAACAGTCCAATCCATGTAAATTTTATTACAAGACTTGGGCAACAACCATTTGAGTGCTGCTAAAATATTAATTGGATAGAAATGAAAGGGCTCTGCTAGCTGATAGGATATCATAATCATAGCTGCAGTAGTCGATGGTAAATGATGATAAATGGCATTAGGAGCCTTTTAGCAAACTGTAATAACTACGAGGAGGGAAGCAGTATGGATTTGCATTATATCTGATACCCTCTAGCACCAAGTGGATTGCCAATACTGCTTGTTTAGCATTTTCTAAGTGCAATAGGATATTGATTTCTGACTTACAAGGAACGGCTCTATTTTCACCATTGAAAAGTATTGCAGGTTGTTAAGAAGAAATTGACTTCAAGAGGCCTGACTGCTGCCCATCATGGAGCAAATAAAGCAAAACTGCCGAAGCATGGTGGAGCAGCAAGATGGGGCCCTCAGCAATTTGTTGCTATTAATTTACCATGCTCGACAGCAAATCAATCGGCATCTACTTCATCTGCTGGAGAAAATGCTGTCCAGGGCAGATAAAAGGCCCTGCATGGTCCAGGGAATAGACTGGATTAGCCAAACGGAGGCTGCAGTTAATGTGTAAATAAGTGAAATCAAGGCCACTGTTGCCAAGAAAGCTGTTTTTAATTAGGTTGGGGCTTTATAGTGAGCTATTTAAGAAAGTAGTACAGAGGGTAAGGGCAGATTTATTGCTGACTTAGTTAATATATGGGCTGTACGGCATCCCAGCCATGAGCCTGCTTGCTGCTTAA